CCTTGGGACACGGTCAAACGCCTTCTCCAAGTCCACAAAACACATGTAGACAGGTTGGGCGAACTCCCATGCACCCTCCAGGACCCTGGAAGTAGCCAACAATAATCTGTAATAAATTATGAATGCAAATCAAAAATTCCAGATCACAGTTAATTTTAAATAGCTATAGCTCCTCCCCTCTGGCTCCGCCCCCATTTCAGAACTAGTCTGTTTGGAGAAACCTTCAAACATTTTTCAAACGTCTTTGATTGTTGAGTACCCGGCAGGGATTAACGGGATTATCTCTGGTTCTTCTGAGGCTGAACAGCAGATCCTTTTCTCTTTGAGATATCAGATCCACACGGGTTTACAGCACTCCATCATCAGACCCAGCCAGCCCAGCTGTTTGCCCTCCAACATGGACACTCTGCCCCAGAGGCTGCGCGAGGCCGGCTACTCCACGCACATGGTCGGCAAGTGGCACCTGGGCTTCTACAGGTGAGCGTCCTCAGGTGATTGTCCTGTTCCAGATGTGTGTCTGCAGGAACCCACATTCAAACCCGGTAGATGAATATCCTGGTTTGTTCTGTAGGAAGTCCTGTCTGCCCACCAGGAAAGGTTTTGACAGCTTCTTCGGTTCCCTGACAGGAAGTGTGGATTACTACAGGTGAACAAAAACGTCTTCTCATTGCTCAGACCTCGCCTCGGTTTGATTTCCCTCCGTTTTACTTTCAGCTACGGGTCTTGTGACGGTGCCGCGCTGTGTGGCTACGACCTCCACGATAACGAGAGCGTGGCGTGGGGTCACGAGGGGAAATACTCCACCATCCTGTTCACGCAGAGGGCTCGCAAAATCCTGGAGAGCCACGACCCGATGAAGAGGCCGCTCTTCCTGCTGCTGTCCCTCCAGGTAACTAAAGACAACCTGGTTCTGATGCCGTCAGGCCCGACCCAGACTGAAACATACAGACGACAACATTAGAAAGGTTCATTTAAAAATCTTTATTGTCTGAGTGCTGAGTCAGCGTTCACACTACAATGTTCACGTTTCACTTTTTACGTTCCTCGTAGCCTTTTGCTATTTGTAGCTTCTAGCTAGACTTTAGCTTTTAACTAACATTTGGCTGCTTTTAACTAGCATTTTGGTACTTTTAGGTTTTAGTTAGCCATTTGCTACCATTAGCTACTGTAATGATTTGCTATTTTCACAGCCTTTTGCCTTTTTTAGCTTCTAGTTAGCCTTTTGATATTTGCAGCTTCTAGCTAAACTTTTTTTGACTTTGTCTTTAGGTTAGTTGTTTTTGCTACATTTATTTTTTTTGTTTTGTAATTTTAGTTTTTAACTAGCTTTTTGCAATTTTTAAAATATAATTAGCCTTTTGCTTCTTGTAGCTTCTTGCTAACACTTTTCTACTTCTAGCTTTTAGTCAAGTTTTTTAACTTTTAGGTTTTGCTACATTTAGCATTTAGCTTCTAGCTAAACTTTTTTGGACTTTTAGGTTATTGGTAAGTTTGTTTAACTTTTAGTTTCTGCTACATTTAGCTTTTAGTTTGTCTATTTTTACTTTTAGTTTTTAGCTAGCCTTTTGCTAAATGTAGCTTCTTGTTAACCTTTTTCCACTTTTAGCTTTTAGGTTAGTTTTTTAACTTTTAGGTTTTGCTACATTTAGCTTTTAGTTTGCCGTTTTTCTACTTTCTGCTAAGGATAAGTGCAACTTTCTACGTTTTTACTTTTTACTTTCCTCATAGCCTTTTTCTACTTGTAGCTTATAGCTAGAATTTTGCTACTTTAGCTTTTAACTCATATTTTGCAGCTTGTAACTAGTATTTAGTTAGTTTTAGCTTTTAATTAGCCATTTGCTACCATTAGCTACTGTCATGATTAGCTATTCTTCACAGCCTTTTGCTACTTAAGCAAAGGTTTATAGTTAGCCCTTTTACTATTTGCAGCTTTAAGATAAACTTTAAGTTTTTAGGTAAGTTCTTTTAACTTTTAGGTTTTGCTACAATTAGCATTTAGTTCGTCTCTTTTAGTTYTTAACTAGCTTTTTCTAGTTTTTTTACAACTAAGTAAATTTTTTTTAATTAGCCTTTTGCTAAGTTTAGCTTCTTGCTAACCTTTTTCTACTTTTTGCTTTAAGGTAAGTTTTTTAACTTTTAGGTTTTGCTACATTTAGTGTTTAGTTTGCCTTTTTTTTCTACTTTCTGCTAATAAGGCTAATTGCCACTTTCAATCATTTTAGCTTGTGCTTTCTTTAAGCTTTCACAGTTTCAGCCTTTCATTTAATCTCAGCAGCACGTTCAGGATTTTCAGGATTATTTCTCTGATTTGTGGATGTGTATTCTGACATCTTGAGGACATGTTCTGTTTTTAAATCCAAACTGAAGCATTTAAATAAAGTTTATTGAATGTTTTCCTGCAGGCGGTCCACACCCCTCTGCAGCCTCCCAAGTCCTACATCTACCCGTACCGAGACATGACCAACGTCGACAGGAGAAAATACGCCGCCATGGTCTCCACGGTGGACGAGGCGGTGCGGAACCTCACCTACGACCTCAGAAAGTACGGATTCTACAAAAACAGCGTCATCGTCTACTCCACCGACAACGGCGCCCAGCCTCTCATCGGAGGCAGCAACTGGCCGCTCCGAGGCCAAAAGGTTGGAAATACCTGGAATGTTTTACTGACTTTGTTATTTTAATTATTTTTAACGTTTCATCACTTTTATTTACAAACGTTGTAAAGGTGTGACGTCATCTCAGTTTCCACCAGGCTCCAGCTGAACTCACTGGTTTGGTTTTCAGGGCTCGTACTGGGAGGGCGGAGTCCGCGGCGTGGCCTTCGTTCACAGCCCTCTGCTGAAACGAAGGAGGCGGGTCTCCAGAGATCTGCTCCACATCACGGACTGGTTCCCCACCCTGGTGGGACTGGGCGGGGGGGACATCAGCCAGGTCAGGACTGTGTCCAAACAAAATCTGTAGCCATGATTTCTCTTTTAGCAGATTTCTTCTGACTCTTCCTGTTTAGTATTAATCCTGCTTCKTTTCTAGGCTTTTGAACATTGTTACTGTAGATGTTGATTTAATCATTCAGGCTACAGTTGAAGACAGAATTAGAAGTATTTTTCCGGCAGCATTAATGAACTAATGGATTTTATAAATATAAACTAAAAATAGTTTTGCGTATATCTGCATTTCAGAGCCGCGGTCTGGATGGTTTTGACGTTTGGCCCACCATCAGCGAGGGGAAGGCGTGTCCTCGTCAGGAGATCCTTCACAACATCAACCCTCTGCACAGACCCAGCATTTCTTCCATTAGCTGGGACGCAAAGAAAAAAAAGAAATCTGCAGGTAACGAGCCGAGACTGCAGGGACAATACCTCTCAGTGGTTTGGTTTTACTGTTCTCATACATGAGGTGATGAAACGGGCTCATATGAAGGTTCAACAGTAATAAAACAAAAAAAAAAGACGTTCCTAGAGCGAATTTTAAAAACATTCAACTTCAGGAATCAACAGGAAAGTTCGGYTGGAACATTGGCTGGAGGGTTGAGTAGTAACATTATCACCAACTGCAGTAAAACACGGTATGAGGCTAGCATAGATGCTACGAGTAAAGCTAGCAGTTTAGGGACAAAGTGCAGGGATAGGGTCCGGGTGGTCCAGTGTTGGTCTTTTACCTCCAGTAAAACATTTGGAGTAGACGTTAAGTCCATGGTTGAACTTTTTTTGGGTCAAATTCAACTCGTCCCATCACTGGAATCCAGCTGTTAGCTAGCATGTTAGCTAGCATGTTAGCTAGCATGTTAGCTAGCATGTTAGCTAGCATGTTAGCTTGGAAAAATATTTCTATTTTTGAGATTTTTTTTTGCTGTTTTACTATTTTTGCACTTCATATATCAAAATATGAACGATTTAACTTTATTACCTTTATGAATACGACGCCAAACAAAACACAAATGGATTTTTGTCAGAAAGCAGTGGTGTGGCTGAAAAGTGTAACTTTTCTGTTTTCTTTCATTCTGCAGTGAAAAAGTCAAAAAAATCCCAGATTAAACCGAAGTCGAAGCAGCAGAAGAGAGTCCTGACCCTGAAACAACCTAAAAAGTCCTTGTTCAAGATCAAAGACTTAAAGAAACATTTAAATCCAGCTGGAAAAACTAAACCTTCCCCCAAACTGAAGCCTAAACCCAAACCTAAAGCTCAGGCTCGGCACCAGGACCAGCTCCACTACGGACCAAAGATCCAGTCTAGTGGTTCATCATCAGTATCTGGTTCTCCCCGTCAGAAACCCAGGACCAAGTCCAAGCGGACCACCTTCCAGAACCAGAACTTGTCTCAGTCAAGACAAACTCAGACTAAATCAAAAACCAAAACCTTAAAATCCAAGTCCAGGCAGACTTTAATCCAGAACCACAACACGTCCCAGTCCAGAACCTCCAAATCTCAGTCCGGACTCGGGTCTGCTCCGTCTTCGGTGTGGGACACGTCGGTGCAGGCGGCCATCCGGGTCGGAGACTGGAAGCTCCTGACAGGAGACCCGGGACACGGAGACTGGATCCCTCTGCAGGTACCACAACGCTCCGCCAACGGTTCTGTTTTAAACCCGTCCAGATGAAATAATCCAGAACTCTGATCCGCAGGTCCTCCCCACCCTCCTGGGTCGCTGGTGGAACCTGGAGCGGTCCCTGTCCCCCTCCAAAACCACCTGGCTCTTCAACATCACCGCCGACCCGTACGAGAGGCAGGACCTGGCGGAGCGGCGGCCCGACGTGGTCCAGAGGCTGCTGGCCCGCCTGGCCTACTACAACCAGACCGCCGTGCCGGTTCACTTCCCCCCGGACGACCCGCGGGCCGACCCGCGCCGGCACGCGGGGGCCTGGGTTCCCTGGGCCGAGGAAGAGGAGGAGGAGGAGGGGAGGCATCGATGCGTTTATAAGAAAGGACTCAGTGAGAAGAAGAGGAGGAAGAAGGGGAGATGTCCGCTGTGCAAACTGAAGGCTCACTTCCTCAAACTGAACACAGAGATGATGTCCAACCGGATCTGAGGACCTAAAAACTGTAAAAACTCTTAACGTGGAGCTGAAGTGATTCTTACGGTGGAATCTCACGGCTGAACAATAATTCCACTTCTGAGCCCAGAACTCTGTTTCTGTAACTAATCGGTTGTTTTCACAAGTTATTTTTGAAAAATCTGTTTATTTTTAAAGCTGTGACGTGCATATCCATGAAATACAACAAGTCAAAGAAAATATATATGTGACCCTTCATATCGATTAAGTCAAATTTGGTCAAAATGACCTAATTACATTTTCAGATTATTGGCTTTAAAAGCTACATTTTGACACCTGGATCATTCTGATATCTTAATTAAATCCATATATATGACTTAATTTGTCTTGTTGGTTACAAATATTTGGTCTGAATCCTAATATTATGTCATTATAACGAGGAATTTTTGATGTCCTTTTAAAGAGGAAACCTCAAATTATATTTGAATATTGAGATTTCMCAGCTAAAAASAAAWAAAACTTTGCTARCTCACAGGGCAAATGTCTAAATTTTAAGGCGTTTTTCCTCAAAATTGGGTTTTTTGTTGCTTCTGCTTAAAAAAATGCTTCAAAATTTAGTTTTATGATTATATTTCAGACATTTCAATCAAATGATACATTAATGAGGCTTTCATTCATTATATTTTGACAAAATGCAATTTTTGTTAACATTTTAGTCAAAACACTATTTTCCTATTTCTCCATACACAACTTTTGGGCTTAGTCCTYGTTTCGATGTGATGGGTCACATATATTTAAGAAACTTGGCATGATTTGACCTGTTATGACATAATTGGCATATCTTTGTATTTGGCTCAGCTAAAGTGAAACAGGAAGTGACATCAAAGGGGAACTCTTTGAGAAATAAAACTCCCTGGTTTTTGTTTATTTGAACTATAACTCTCATCTCTCTATGATAGGGATTAAAATAATCTTAAAAAAAACATCAGGTTCTTCTCTACAGTCTGTGCTGTTAGCCATTTAGCAATGCTCTGTTTATATTCAGACATTCCCCTTTGACATCACTTCCTGTTTCTTCACACGCAAATATCTCAACAACTCTTCATCTGAGTGGTGTAAAATTTGTTTTGTAATATGTTATATATGTTATCTTTCCAAAAATACGTTCATATTTATTACAAAAAATTGATGTCAGTAAGAAATCAGCCATTAGTTTTAGATTTTCTTCCGTTCTCTATTTTTAAAGGGGATATCTGATGCAAAATCCACTTTTTTACTCGTTAAATACATTTAGTTGTGAACTTGGACTCTAAATAAGAGCTGGACTGGTGGTCTTCATTCTCTGACATGTGAGGCTGGATGGACAAGTTGTTGACGTATTTTAATTTATTTGTAAAAATATATATATTTCTGCGCAGCTATATAGTCGTAAACCCCTCTATCCCACTATAATGAACTGCTCTGGAAGCTGGAGGGGGGCGGGGTTTAAAGAAACAGCCTCAGTTGATTTTAGACACACCCCAGAAAAGGGGCGGGGCTTGTGGAGTTCAGACCAAAGCGTTGCAGTGCCACTAAATGAGAAAAGTAAGGATTTAAAAGCATCAAAAGTCTCCTTTAAAAACATTTTCTGTAAAACATTAAATGTTGCACTTTTACAAAAATCAAGTAAATGTGAAACAGCGTTAAAGTTTCTGAAAAACTTGTGAAAACCTGCTGCTGTCCGTCAGTAAATCTGTCTCTTAAAATAAAACTCAGATCGCTTAGAAAATATTTATTTGATGCTTTAATTTTTAAAATCCACCTTTAGTTTGTTGCTTAAAAGGTGTTTTCTTTATTACTGTCGTCTGATTTAATCTGTGAATTAAATTTTTAACGTTTGTTTTTTAAATTTCCCAAACTGACAGAGTTCCWGGTGAAGAACTGACACGGTGAAGTATTTGGTAGTAAAAAGTACTTTGATTGTTGACTCCWGTAATCTGAGCGATTCTGACAAACGTTTACTTTCTGCACTGAAAGTTCTCTCTGACAAATATAATCCATGTTTCTGTGAGTTTATAATCTTGGTTTTAAACCACATCTGATCCAGTTTACATGGAACAGAATCTGTTTTCATTTTGTGGACCAAGTGCTCAAAACAGCTTTAATGTGAGTTTYATCTTGCTTGTAATAAAGTTAAACCTTTAAATCAGACATATTAGAGCTTGTGTTGGGAATGACTCTCAGCTACCACCAAGMYGAACTTTAGCTGTGYCTGTGAAACACTTGTGTTAATTAAGTRTTCAAAGTTGCTTACATTCAAATTAAAAAGAAAAAAATAAATCAAATAGAAACAGTAAAACTGACCTGTCTGAGAATAAAACCTGATCATGTTCAGGTTTGTCATCTGAACTCAACTTTAAAAATCAATCAGTGGTTCAGGAGATATTTTACTAACACTACAGACAAACAGGGCTGTGTGTGTTGGAAAGAATTTGGTGAAATGATACATATCATGGATTGTGATACATCATGATATCTCAAGGCAATATTTTTTTTTTCCTCATTTTTATCTAATTAAAAAAACAAAAATCTGATTAAATTCAGTTTATTTTTAACAACACTGAGAACTTAATTTGTATTTCACATTTCTTGCATTCATCCTTTAAGCTTTAAATAAAAATCGATGAAGAACCAGGTATTAAAATCAGAGTTGTAAAGTAACTAAGTACAAATACTTTGTAACTGTGCTTAAGTAGAATTTTTGGGTATCTGTACTTTATTGAGTAATTATTTTTCAGCCTACTTTTTACTTTTACTTCTTACATTTTCACACAGTTATCTTGTACTTTCTACACTTTATAGTAAAAAAGGCAAGAAGTAGAAAGTTGTTAATTTAATTTAATTTTTGTTTGTTTTCATTCCAGCTTATTGTAAAAAATAAATACTATCCATATAAACTGTGCCTCCTAGAT